GGATATCATTTTGCCTAGTAATTTTGACATTTGTGCTGGGGATGCCCTTTTCATGCAAAAGAAATGGGCTGCTACTGCTTTAATGTCCTCTCTTCTTTTTTGAGAGAGGAAAACTAAATCTAATTCAGTATCTATTATTGCCTCTAAATGTAAACGTTTGGTAGATGGTTCAAACTGACTGTTTTCCTGATTAACCGAAAATCCATGAGATTGTAAGGTTTGTAGGGTGATGGTTAAGTTTCTAATAACTAACTCATGGGGGACTGATTGTATTAAGATATCGTCCAAGTAGGCCAGTACCCTAATTGGAACATTTCTAAGATGGGCTGTTACAGCCACTAGGATTTTGGTAAATGCCCTGGGTGCAGATGCCAACCCAAAGGGGAGTGCTCTATACTGAAAATGTCGACCTGCGTAACAAATTCTTAAATACTTGCAGTGGTCAGATAAGATTGGAATATGCAAATACTCTTTGGTAAGGCCAATTGAAACTAAATAGACCCCATGTCTCACTTTCTTCAAAATAGATTGAAGCATGTGCATCTTGAACCTACGATAAATAATAAAAGAGTTTAGTCTTTTCAGGTTTAAAATAGCCCTTCATCTCCCTGATGATTTGGGAACAAGAAATAACATAGAGTAGAAGCCTTGGCCCTGTTGCTTCTCTGGGACTGCTTCCACACCTTGGATTGTTAGGAGGTGCTGAATTGCCTCCTCCATCTATCTCCTTTTGTGTATGTTTGAAGATACCGGACACCTGATAAAAAATCTCAGGGGCCTGGCTCAAAATTCAAGTGCCAGACCTTCCCTTGTTGTCTGTCTGAGCCAAAGATCTGAGGTTGGTCTGCAAAATTTTGTAATCTACCACCAACAGGAGTTTTCAAGTGCCTATTTGTATTTTCAGAACGGTCTGTTTGATGAACCACAGAATGACTGTTTGGTCTGTGGTTGAGATCTTGTCTTGTAGTTGTTCCCTTGAGCCTGTTGAAAATGTAACCTCTGGCCAAAGCTTGCTTGATTTCTTTGGCTGGTAGATGTTTATCCCGTTATTCGATGAGAACAGGATCTAAGGGTGCCCCAAATAGCTTTCCACCTTTGTATGGTGCGGATGCCAGCTTCCATTTCTTCTTGGTGTCGGCCTGCCAATACCTGAGCCAGATTAACCTGCGTGCAGCAACCGCCGAAAAACATGGCCCATGAGGCGAATTTGACAGAGTTCAAAGCTTCATCTGCCATATATTCTGATGCAGCTATGACTTTGTTAAAGTCTAAGTGGGCTCTTATATTGTCTGTTGGTACCTGCTGCTGCATTTGTCTTAGCCATATCACAGCTTTTTGTTGATTGGAAGCGATCAGATGTGAAGGCATTGTGTTGGAAGATTTCTCCATAATGTCTATAACTGACTGTAACATTACTTTGACTATATCAAATAAAAATAGAAACAACAATTAATTGTAATACATCTTATTAAATTATTTAAGAAAATCTTTTTCTGAGACTTTGACCCTCAGGACAGAGTTTCACCAATTTCAAGACAATTAAATAGCTCAAAAACCAGAATCTTTCAAGGTTAACTGTCTATAAGCAGTATAGCTCTAGTTGTGAGGCACTCAGCACACAAGGATAGAAAAGCTGAGGAAAAATATCTCTTGTTTATTACCTTTTTTCTGAGGCTTTGCCTCTCAGGACAGAATTCCGCCAATCTGATGACAATTAAATAGCCCAATAACCAGAATCTTTCAAGGTTAACTGTCTACGAGAGGTAAAGATTGGGTCATGAGGCACACTAGAGCTGGCTAGAAAATGGCTGCTTCTACAAAATGGCACTGCCACCAATTTAAACTGTCACCACGTTGATTTTACCTTTGCTGGAACCTTGTTGCAGCTAACACAGCAGCTCTGCTTAGACTTGCGCCCCCTTATTTGGGCAGGCTGTCTGACAGGCTTTTCGAATAAAGGTGCCATCTGTGCTCAGACTGTTTAGCCCTCCCTTATACGGGCAGGCTGCTCAACCGGCAAAAGGAGCCTCTTCAATGCCCCCAAAACCCTATTCCAGGTTTTTGGGAGCAATCTCTGCAAACTCTGGACTGTGGAAGTCTATTTGCTTGAAAAAGCTGATGGAATAGAGGCTTGTGATCATAATAAGCATCGAGGCTTTTGAAAAGCCTAAGGTGCTATTAGTCCCTTAAGGACTGTTATGTGGTTAGTCCAAAATAACAAATCTAAATTAAAAATACTACAAACACCCCTCTATGGATAAAGTATAGAGGAGCATGATTAAAAATGTCTATCTCTGCCAAGACTGAATAGAAGAACTGGAGATGGTGGTGCAGAAGAGGTGTGTGTTCAGTTTTTCCATTCAGTCTATAGCCGAACAGAGCTGAATACATCCCATGCATGGATCCTGTCGAAATCATTCTAGAGAAGCTTGCTTCTTTACAAATGCAATACACCAATTAAATACATGACTCGTGTATTCAATCCCATGATGGGCTTATGAACTGGACAGACAAAAAATGTGTTACAAAGAGAAGAGAAGAGGCAGGAATACAAAATAACTTCAAAATATGTTTCGCAATGACAATCAGCTGTGATTCTTAAATGAATCTTCCATGTAATGTTTCTGTAGGTGAATGCCCTCCCCCCCAAAAATGCCTATAGTACATATATTCTCATCATGTGCTTTCAGAAACTGTGGTTAGAATAATACTTTTTTTCATCTAAATCCAACGAAGTAATTCCAATGGTCCCACTTCCTTTCTTAATGGAATGATTTCTTAGTCCTCAGCAAAGGAATTGAATTTAGAAGTACATTCCAGAAATTTAACACAATGATTTACCTTGACTGATTTTTTTTAACTTTTCCCTTTCTTGTTCAGTGTTCCAAAATACAGAATTTTCATATTAGAATGTCAGAATGCACAAAAATGAATACTATATTTCTATCTTACACGGTATAGTGTATCTCAGTACACTAACAGCTTCAAAGCAGATTCTCTGCCTGACCTCCTCTGATTATGGGAGAAGAATTCCAATACATCAAGAAAGGACCAGATTGTAATTGTATAAAATAGATTTAACTCAGAGATGGAGTGTTGAGATACCAGACTTCTCTGGTCTTGATTCTACATTTGCAATTCGGTCAACATATTCAATGCTCTCAAATGACTCAAAGGTGCCAGACTGGAGGATAGGATTATTAATGTGCCCAATGTGGATATACTTTAAAATAGCTTCCTTGTGTTTAACAATTTTCTACCACAACATAATTATATTGTTTCTGCCTCTTTTATTTTTATTTTTGCCAGGAATATATAGGACATATCCTGAAATAACCCCACTCAATTGGGCTGCAGTGAACTTTATTTGAAAACCTCCTTTGGAAAAAAAATGTTCCACTACTTCAGTACATTATTCATTTGATATTAAATTATGACACTAATTCTTTGCTCTCCTAACTAATGAAAAACATACATTTTTCCTTTCCCTACAGCATAAATATGTCTCATTGCTGTAAAGCTATAATGATACCTTTTTCTTTTATTAAGTCACATTTTTCTTTTGTTCTCCTTCCCATTCCGTAGTATGCATGTATCTTGGACACATAAGAAGATGTCCTTCCAGAGCCACACAAACAACTATTTCAGCAAACAATTTCCTATGTTTAATCTTTCATTTTAAAAATTATGATATTTTAAGTGATGGATCAGTTGGGACAATCCAGAAGATTCTGAAGAAAGAAGATGCAAAATCATTTGCATTATCTGTGGAACCTTCAACCTTTGGATACTGCCCTACATCTGAGTCCTTCATTGTAGCAACTCATATTAAAACAATCGAAGAGCTTGAGGGCAGAAACCACTGTTTATAATAGGGTTCTCCAAACATGGAAACTTTAAGATTTCTGGACTTCAATTCCCAGAATTCCCCAGCCAGATGACTGACTGATGAACTCTGGGAGTTGAAGTCCACAAGTTTTAAAACTGCCATGTTTGGAGACCCCTAATTTAGAATGCCCTTTCCTAATCACTAGTGTGGTGGAGATTATAAATCCTGTAGAATTCTAAAGGTTGGGGAAGGCTACTTCAGAGATCAGCTGGTGGATGGAAATAAACTTTTTTTTTCCTTTTGTCTCTCATCAAGTTAATGAAAGCCATGTAGAAACTAATAGGTACCTAAGACTTGTTTCCTACCCATTACTTTGTTAGGAGGAAATTTGATTAAGTCCAGCTTCCCTTTTTACCACACAAAAAACCCCATCTATTAATTGATTTATTCTGTGGGTAGTTCTCCCATCCAATAATGCCTTTTCACAATGCTATTTATTCCAACTGCTAAGAGGATGCTTTGAGCATTTAGAACTCATCGTTTCAGTAATGGTTACAACTCTGAAGATACTATTCTCTTTGGATTGTATGACATGAGATTTAAGCCAACTCTTCTCAACTCAAATCTTCCCTCAGATCATGTATCATACTCTAGACATGTTGGACTTCAATCCCCATCAACTGTAGTCAGCATCCAGAGAGATCAAGTTGAGTGAGGTTATCTTTATGTTCATTGTGCAGATTTATCTAGTTCAATTGATGTTTTGTTTTAGAATCAAATCTCAAAATTGAGGTGCATGGAACTTTCTAACCAGCCACAATATATGAATTAACCCAGATAATTAAGTAACTTCCTATGTTATGCTAAAGAAAAATAATAAAATGGAGAGTGTTACTGCAAGCAGCTTTACAATTAAAAATTAATTGTACTAATTTGGAATGTAGATGTAGATAGTAAGTCACCTTTTAGACAGCTGTGGCACAGAACACTCCTGCATGTATTCCCTTGATACGTGCATGAGTTTTTCTTCTAATACAATTAAGCTTATACTTAATTAAGCTTCTAATACAATTAAGCTTATACAATTACCCTCCCATGCAAGCTGATAGAGGACAATCCAATATTTCACTCCCTCTGTGAAACTGTGAAATTAAAGGAATAGTCCACTCACCTGAACATATAGTTCTCTGAGTTCATATTGAAATTTCTTAGGATCTGTGGTAATGGTTACAGGACCAATTTCTGAAAGGAAAACAAGGAATTTGCGGGAAAGTTAAAAGAGGTTTAATAGCTGCAAAAGCTGATACACACAAACACACAAAATGCATACTCTTTATTATGATAAGTGACCAGTGCAAAACTTTATATTTTATATGTATATATGTAAGATAAAAAGTTATAGTCTCCAAATTATAAAACCCATTGAGCTGATCTAGTGAACTAATCCTATGATACCTATTATCTGTAAAATTTATCTACTTTACTGTCTGTTAATTCTTGCTTAGGTGCATGAGTCTTTAAGTAAGAAAAAAGTAAAATGAGAAGTAATTTTATAACATACAATAATGAATTGGGATAAAATCCAGAATTTTGCCTACTAACCCTGCTGAATCACCTAAATGCTATAATTGCAGATTGCCTCTTCATGAAATTTGGTCTTGATTGGTCAATTCTATTTATTTTATTTTTTATTTATTTTTATTTGTCAATTGCTTACAAGATAATAGGTATAAGTAAAAACATAGTTATGAATACATGGATACATATAAGAAAAATAAAAAAATATTAAAGAAACAATAGCACATGCACTTATGCATGCCCCCTACAGACCTCTTAGGAAAGGGGTGAGGTCAATAGTAGACAGTCTAAGGTTAAAGTTTTTGGGGTTTGGGGGAAAATAACCATAGAGTCAGGTAGAGTATTCCAGACATTGACCACTCTGTTGCTGAAGTCATATTTCCTGCAATTAAGTTTGGTGCGATTAACCTTGAGTTTGTATCTATTGTTTGCTCTAGTGTTGTTATGGTTGAAGCTGAAGTATTCATTGACAGGTAGGACATTGCAATGTATGATTTTATATACCATACTTAGATCGGACCGAAGGCGGAATAGTTCTAGATTTTCTAGGTCTAGAATTTCAAGTCTGGTGGCATAAGGTATTCTACAATGAGTAAAGGAGTGGAGAACTCTTCTTGTGAAATATTTCTGGACTTTCTCAACTGTGTTAATATCAGATACGTAATGTGGGTTCCAGACAGATAAGCTGTATTCGAGTATTGGTCTAGCAAATGTTTTGTATGCTCTAGTTATGCTCTAGTTATTAGTGTAATATTACCATGGAAAAAGCTATGTAAGATTAGGTTAACAAATCTTAATGCCTTTTTGGCTATGTAGTTACAGTGGGCTCTAGCACTTAGGTCATTTGCGATGAGTACTCCAAGATCCTTGACAGAGTTTGGATCATCAACAAGGTCTTGACTATTCAGCCTGTATTTTATTTTCTGATTTTACAATTCTACAAGAATAATTCCACAACTGTGAGAAAATATGTACAAAGAGTACAACAGTGTTTTTTTATATTCTTTTATTTTACAGTGCCAAATTCTCAAAAAGCAAAATGCCATTCCCTAAAAATCACTTATTTTATTTATAAGTAACAGCAGATATCAGATCATGATGATCTAATAAATAATGGGCAAAGATCTCATCAGGTCATGTGTTCTGAAAAAGTGTGCAGCTAAATAAGGATCAGTAGGACATCTGCTAACTCAGACAAACAAATATTGATAGTAATTAAATTTGGATAAAAGGAATCTAATTATTTCAAAACAAGTATTGTATGTGCATTTTGTTGTTTTTGAAAGCTTTCTAGATACTGTGAAACACCATTAGCCTTAGTCATTATGGCCAGGAAAGAAGAATGACAAAAAATGAAGTTCAACAACAACATCTGGAGAAATACAACATTGTCTTCCTTGTGTTAGAGTACAGTGTAAAGTAAAGGACTTCTCTTACTATTCTATAGCAACATAATTTAAGGATATCCTAAGAATCTACGGTGTTTCCCCCATGATTGCAATATCTATTTTGAATTATTAAATAAAATCAGCCAGAGGATTCAATAAAATAGAAATAATAATGCAGCTTTACCTACATTTTTATGTTCTAATGCCAATAAAAATTTAAACAAGTTTTGGGAAGTATGGGGATAAATACAAAATACAAAGACAAAAAAACCTAACAAAAGTTTTACAAACTCAGAGGTCTTTTACTACAGACAAGAAACAGCTCATATTTATATAGAAGATCTACCTGCTGCAGATCCTAAATCTCCACATCAGTGGTGGGATTAAACAAAAATTACTAACGGTTCTGTGGGCTGGCAAGGGAAGAATACTGTAAAATCTCCAGTCAGTGGTGGTATTTGCCGGTTCTCCGAACTACTCAAAATTTCCACTACCAGTTCTCCAGAACTGATCAGAACCTGCTGAATACCATCTCTGCTCCACATCCATACATCAGCACCAGAGTTTAAATAATGATCTATTTTCTCTAATCCTTTCAAATCAACAGATTTTGGGCCATCTTGAGATGGGAATTCTCTGTTCACTCTTTAGATAACTTTTTAGCCTGGTTCAAGCATTCTGAACGCCTTGCAGATACAACTTTTTGTATTATGTTTCATTTCCATTTTTTGAGGGCTTTTAACTCCAAAAAGCAAGCTATCCTATTAATGCTTTATACAACACCTTAAATATGTATTTCAGACAAAATGGGGGATTTCCTCCTTTGAAATATATCCATGTTTAACTTTTTTTTAATTGGCACCAGATCTTCTGTTCTTGGAGTTGATGTCCCTCACAATTAGGTTGATTGTTCTTTCTCATCATGTTTTCTCTTCTTATTGCGTACAAACAATGACTAATAGCTCTTAAGAGAGCAGGTTTGGTAATGAAGAATGAAGTGTGTCTCATGAATTACAAATCCTAGTTTAATTACTGAAGCAACACGTTTTTGTTAAAAAGAAGCCCCTGGGCCAGAAACTTACTGTACAGAATATGTGTTCTTCTGTTACAACACTGCTGTTTTGTTTGGCTCCAGAAAATCTCACCAGTTTTGGACATATAGTGCAATAAATTTTTATAAACATTTGTAAGAACAACATACAATCTAGCCTTATTTCTTGTTCTTCATAACATGGTTGAGCCTGGGGCTGAGACAATCTAGATTTCTGAGTCCTGGGAAAATAGCCACACACACCCCAACACACCACTCATTCTTGGACCTAGATATAGAATCAGATAATTCATTTACTAAATTCCTACAAAGAATGGTGGGGGAGGGAAGACAATGAGAGAGAAAGAATGAGAGAGTGTTTGCAATTGAAACTGCTTTGACCTGCTCTGTTTAATCATCTTATGCTTACTGTCATATACATTTTTTTAAAATGCCAGTGAAAAACCAAAGAGTAGCTTGTACTAAAACATAGAACATAGCCCCCTTCATGTCTGCAATGATATTGTCCACTGAGACAGTACCATAACAGTGCTATTGAGCTAAGCAAGAAGCTAGATCTAGAATGGGCTTGCTTTTTAATGTGAAACACTTTACAAAATTAACAGTGCAGACTGATTGATTGAATGTATGGAGTGAGTAGTTAGTTATGAAGAAAATAATGTTGGTCAACATATCAATGTATATTTAGGCTAAAGTCACCTACCCCAGATAAAAGTTTTATTGTGCTTCCTCCTTGCCTCAGAGAAGAAGAGAGATTCAAACATAATGCTTCTTTATTTTCCCCATCTTTTCATACATTTTTGTCTTAACTCAACAAACATGTGCAAAGGAGGGGAAAAAAGGTACACAATGCTTGCTGACTCTAAGCACTGGGGCTGTTGGACCTAAAAGCAATATACATCTCTAGCTCAAAACTTTCATTCTGTACCAGGTCCAGTATACTGTCTATACAGGATGCCTCATTTTACTACTGCCTGCACAATAGAAAATAATTAAAAACAACAGTAATAACAAATCAATTCTGCTATAGTTTAAAGTCAAAATTTATCAAGCAACTCTGTGATTCAATTGCTACGCAAAATAAATAAATATCAAATGATCCCAATTAATTTTGGGACTTTTAAAACTTTTTAAATGCTAAAGGCATTATACATTCAATATTTTTTTCTGTTATAATGTATTATTGAATAAGACCTAGTCGCCCTAAACTGGAAAACCACAAAACTTGAACTTAACACAACCAAGATGTTGTTTAGACTGATCCCTAAGCAACTGACCAAACACTACTACATTTCTACATAAAACTGTCTGCTAAGAGATTTGACAGGCCATAAGAATATTTCTACTTTCTACTTCACAAATAAACTGGAAATCAACCCTTTTCTCTGAGAAATAAACAGGAAATTGACTCAATAAATAAATCTTGATGTTAGTAGACATCAAGTATCTCAAAACATTTTGAAAACAATGTATCTCATCTGGACAAAGAGTTTAAAGCAATTATCCTGATCTTTTTTAAAAAAAGATCTATTGGTGTACAGTATGCACGTGTTCAATTCACAAATATTGATGAGACAAATATACACAAAAGATGCTTAATGACAATTACAAAGCACAGCATCAGATAATATCCATATTAAGTGGATGGACTCTAAGAAAATAATAGTGGAACTCTTTAGAACCCATTTATGCAAGGAAATATTGAGTCAATTGAACAATTAAAAAGGAAAGCTACAGCAAACTCTAGACAATTACATTACCAATTCCTCATATCAAATTCACACGGAAGACAAAAGTAGAAAGTGGGAAAGAAAACATCAATCTGCTGATTAATAATTTATTAAATTTGCATGCTTTCTGACTCTCAACAACTCTGTAGAGCTTACAAATCTTGTGATTTTGTTGTACAAATCTCCAGTTGTTGAGAGCAGTAAAGTAGGATTCCAGATTCAGATAGCAAGGCCGCTGATTCCAATTTATCTAGCTAATCTCCCAAATGGGAGAAGTTAAGGCAGCAGATCATATCTTGCTCATAGAGTAACTACGTTTACTCAGTTTTGATGAATTTTTTTACTGCTGTGTGACCAAGACGTGAAGCATAAAACTGCATATAAATCTCCATCTGATGAATGGATTCATCACAAACTGCATCCATCTACAGTATATAATATTTCAAAATGGAAATTTTCCAGTGAAATATCCTGCACATCCAACAAGCAGGCAAA